TATAGTTTGTCTATTTGCGTCTGTAGATTTCTCCTAAATTCACCAAAAGTTAGCTTTCTAACGTAACATAAAATACCGTGACCGCTGTTTGGACCATGTCATCAGAGGTATCGTTGGAAAGCTCCGTTTCTCCTGCACAATCTCATCGGATCCAATATGGTCATTTCCTTTGTATCAGCAACCAATCGTGAAAGTGCAAAGGGGTCTTAAACCAAGAAACGAAATCTCATTGGCTGGTGTCAATTTCTGACAACGTGATTCGTTCAGATGCGTCACGTGGTGTGCTAAAGCACTTCCTGGTTAGCTTTCCGCTAGAAATTTAAATCTGAAAATGGCAAAATAACGGCGAAAAAAACGTTCACAGAGAAGACGACAACAATTGCCACTTGCACAAAGCAAGGTTATACAAAAAACAAATGACCCCAAACATGAAATACCTTCACGGAGTGCGTCGATGCGCAAGCTATCATCCAGATAACAGGAGGGTTTAGCTAGCGTCACACTGCAATCTTTAAAGGTCGTTTTCTCAAAATGAGTTTTTTCTCCTACTCTGAGTTCGAAATTTCCACTTCAGTAGCAGTTACATACACCAAACCTTCCAGTTATATTCCTATCAATATTATGAAGGCTTTTACAGAAGGGTTTGGTCATATATCATTCATAGCCTGAATTATATAACATTTTATACCTAAAAACATTGTGAAAATTGATATTTTTGGGCTGTTGACAGTATTTTCTGATTTATGGAGTGATAAAAAGAGATATCCAAAATCCCTTCTGTAAAAGCCTTAGATACTAATATGACTACAAAATGAAACAATAATTTTGATCCTGGCTTTATCCAAAGTTCAGATTTCCATTCCTGAAATGTGTTAAAATATGCGCATATTTCACAAGATAATAGTCATTTGCATATTTAAACATGCTATTTCAGAAAACTTGTAATACAAAAAACATTTGCCTTATTGTAAGTAATTAACTGGAGAAATGTCTAGCTGATATCTTTAAGTTAAAAAAAGTACCCTATTCACCTGGGGTGTCTCGCTTTAAGAGAAATTGATACATTTAAAATAATCTAGACTTTTTTTTTTTTTTTTTGTTTTGTTTGTTTGTTTGTTTTTTGTTTGGATTTGTTTTATTTCTTTTGTTTATTGTTTTCTGCATAGTCTCTTGTCCACACTCCAGTCTAGTTGGTGGCGGTAATGCACCTACAAGTTGGTTTGCCAACCGCCAATAAACACTAAAGAAGTAGAAGAGATGAGTTCAAAACCATATTTCCAGCAACTTAAGGGCTTGGTATGAGACTTCTCCACACAGGTTGCTGATGCCAAAGGGGGACCCGAGAAACACGAGGCCAACACAGCAGAGTTCGTCTGGCTGAAAGTCATCAGGCCTAAGTGGCTCAACCCCAGGTTTTCCGGCCCCTACCGAGTGACCCAAAGGACCTCCCATGCCGTCCGCCTAGAAGGAAAGGGAGACAACTGGTACCACTGGAGCCAGTGTGCGGTCGGGAAAACACCTGTGAGGACCCTAGACGACATCAGGACAGATCTGGCCCTCGTCAAGGAAGTCGACCCAGAAGGCGTCATCAGCTGACCGGAGGAGGAGGATCGGGAGGACATCTCTCCAGCAGTCAACCCAGGAGGCGCCATCAGCGGACCGGAGGAGGAGGATCGGGAAGACATCTCTCCAGCATCGACCCGGAAGCCGCCATCAGCGGGCCGGAGGAGGAGGATCGGGAAGACATCTCTCCAGCATCGACCCAGAAGCCGCCATCAGCGGGCCGGAGGAGGAGAATCCAGAAGACATCTCTCTAGCAGGCAGCCCAGAAGCCGCCGTCAGCGGGCTGGGGGGAGAAAGACACGGCAAACCAAGACGGCACAGGGGACTCCACTTCCCGCTGAAACAGGTTGATATAGCCGGTGTGGAACTTTGTTTTAACAATCCATTTTTTGAGGAACTTTGGACTTTGCTTTATTATCCCATAATTTGAGGGACTTTGATTTATCCCATAATTTAAGGGATTTGTTTATTTTTATTCTACAGAACTATGTGTTAAAGGTTCCAGGAAATGTTGAAGGGTTCTTTTGGGGCAGACACAGGAATCTCTCTTCAGACTCCGAGCAACACAAGTACCTTTCAGAGGCGCTTAGAAAATCTCCGTGAGATAGATAATAAAACCCGGGTATCTCCCTCACCCCTGCTAACTTGGATCAGTTGCTGGAAGACTACTGATATATGTGGGAACCCGCATTTACCATTTAAAACCTATAGCCCAAAATCAATCACTAACCAAGTTGGGAGTAAATCCTGTTTTACTTTCCAAATAGGCCCTTTTATCATTACTCAACATCTGGACGAGGGTAGATGTCTATTTACATACTCCTCGTATTGAAGAGGGTTTTGGCATATCTGGGTCTCAATCTCCCTCAGGGGGCACGTTTTGTATTCTGGGGAACCAAGGTACGATCGCTTTGACCATTGGTAATATACGGTTTAAAGATACCAGAAGAATTGGAGCTAACAGCATAATTTGTACGGGCACTGGAGAATGGTAGCGGGCCTGGGTCTCCTACTTACCATTATGGTAACGATAATTTTCATTGTCTGTAAAACTAATGATGTGCTTTCTCCAACTCCCGCCCCAGAGGAAGAGATAGTAAGGACCAAAAGAGGGACTAGAGTAGCGAGCCTTATGTCTCCAAAAAGAACCTTGACTCTCCAAGAAGGTAGCGACGGAATAGTGGACATAGATCTGTGCGCAATCGCCCCATGTTCCAACTCTGACAAATCATACTCAGGTCTCGCTAAATATGTCTGCCTCACCCCAACAGTCTTCTAATTTCTGTGGCTACTTTTATTGCCATTTTAGTGACATGTGGTTGTTGTTGTGTGCCTTGTATCCGCTCATTGTGTGTTAGACTCATCAGTTCCACCATTGAGAGAAAAGCTGCCCCTTCCCCTTCGTACCAAATGCCCTTGTTGGCTTATGCGTCGGAGGGGGAAGAGTACGATGACTCAGCCGACAAGGACGAATTTTTTTAACATATTTTGGTCTCCCTCCACTGTCATAAGAAGTTGTTATGGTGGACTGTTCCTAAAGGTTTAAAGTGCTCTGAATCCCAGCTTCTGATGGATTTATATAAATGTTGGGACAGACACAGTAGAAAAGAATGACAGTGGTTATGTTTCAAATGCTGTGTATATGTTGATCTCGTGAGGTGAGATCAAAAGAGGGATTAAAGTAAACAGATATGGTTCTAAACTGTATTGAAGTAAACATGTATTATTTTGAATTGTATTTTAGTTAACATGTATTGTTTGAACTGTTTTAAGTAATCCCATATATATATTGTCTTTCTCACTTACAACTCACTGACCCAGATATCCCTACACACACATACACCTCCTCCCACCAGCACACACACATATTCTTTTCAAGGTCCTTTCTGGGCATCAATATATCTGTGTACAATGTTTGGTTGTCTGGGAAAGAATAGTTTGTGTGAAATATTCCTTGGGAAAGTAAAGGAGTGAATACAGGTGCAGAGATAAGATTGACTCTGTCCTTGTGTACTTCCGAATCTCACGCTCTGCTCAGAAGAAAACATACTTTTTCCCAGAACTCTGATTCGCTGTATTGGACCTGACCAGAAGTGAATCCAACCAGTAAAAACACATGGGGGAGTGAGCAGCTCACACAGCTCCTCCCCACGGACTCTCTGTTTCGCTTCGGAGTAAAATGGGAAGGAAGAAGTCAACACATCTCCGCCCCAAAATATGGATATGAATACTGTTGTTTTTTCATGTAAAATGCTTCCTGTTTCTGACTGGCTGGTCCCAATACCTGTATTGCACGGCAGTAGAACTGGAAGTCCGGAGTACTCTGTAAACTTGTATACGTGTTTTGTTTTTTACCAGTAAAATCAGATTATTGTTATAACCTTTATTCCGGTGTTTTGAATTCCTTCTTTATTAAATATAACCAGGCTCATCTAACGAACGGCGCGTAGCGGAGGTGGGCTTTAAGCCACCATCCACAGTGTTTGCTACAACAATACGAGCATGGTTTTATATACTATCACGTTTAATCGTGTGTGCAATGGTGTGTGAGGGGTTTACAGTTGGTTATGAACCTCAGAGCCCCATGGTAAACAGCGTCCAGCAGATAAAGGGAGTGAGCTGAGGCGTTCATGTACTTAACATCCCCCGTAGCGGGAAACATGTGGCAGCTACAAGCCGTTTCCTAGCACTTGTGGGGAAGCAGGCCTTGTTTCTAAAAAAGAATCCCAGTTTTAATTTCAGTTTCCTTAAAAGATAGTCAATCTTAGTAGTCATAGATAGATAGTCAATAGTCAAGTTTCTGTAGGTGTGAACAGCTTCAATGGGGTTATGCTGGGCAGACATGATGCAGGGAAGAACAGTTGGTAACTTTTTCTTCTTGGAAAACAACATGACTTTTGTCTTGTCTGAATTTAACACCAACCTGAGGTGGAACAGGTGTGACTGAAAAGTGTCAAAAGCAGACTGCAGACGTTCAAATGCAAGGGCAGCAGTGCTAGTACAACAGTATAGATCAGTATCATCTGCATATATATGTACAGAGGCATCAATATTTTGATGCACATCATTTATATAAATTGTAAACAGGGTGGGTCCCAAGACCGAACCTTGAGGAACACCTCTGGGCACAATAAGAAAGCTTGAGGAGAGACCGCTGAATTGTACACATTGCTTGCAATTTGAAAGATAGTTTGAAAACCAACCAACAGCTTGGTCAGACAGGCCTATATGGGATAACTTCTGGCATAAAATGCCATGGTCCACAGTATCAAATGCCTTGGATAAGTCTATAAAAAGGGCAGCACAGTAGCTCTTTGCGTCCAAGCCTTCAACAATGTCATTCACTACTTTCAAAGCAGCCGTTACTGTACTGTGCTGCTTCCTAAAGCCTGACTGGTGAAGAGATAGAATGTTGTTCAAGCTTAAATATTCTTTGATTTGATCATTCACCAGCCTTTCAAGTACTTGAGCTAAAATAGAGAGCTTGGAAATTGGTCTGTAATTATTCATCAGCATGGAATCACCACCTTTCAATAAGGGGAGAACATTTGCAGTTTTCCAAACATCTGGAATGACATTGTTTGTTATAGAAAGATTAAAAACATGACACACTGGTTGGGCTATAATATCTGCAGCTAGACGTAAGAAACAAGGGGGGAGATCGTCTGGGTCTGCTGATTTATTGGGGTCTAGGCCCTTTAGAGCCTTACAAACCTCCCCAACAGAGAAAAGGTCGAAGGAGAAAGTGTGGCTACTGGAAAAAGTGATGTAACATCTAATGTAAACATGAATGGACCAAGGATAGACCCCTGTGGAACCTCTTTCTGAGGGTAAAATGGCCTGAATGAGTACAGTCAGCATTGGTAATAGTTTATGGTTCAAAGCGACGCTCTATCTAGCTTATGTGAGACTAAAGGCTCAAAACACACACTTTTAGAAATCAGTAGGCTTTAGCTTGTTGTTCAATTACCACATATTTATAACATTATTACATTTAAGTGACTGTGGTGCCTTGTTCTTTAGGGAGCTTTGTGTTTGTTTTTGCTGTGGAAAAAAATACAAGTTGACAACTTAAGTGCATGCATTTGAATATTATTGAGAACATTTGAACAACTTTTAAAATTCACACAACATCTTTTAACAGTGAGTTGTGTCAAACAGTCCACCTCACTCTTTCTGAACAGTCTCAGTGCACGAGTGAAGGTTTTCTCCCATGTGGTCTGGTTCTCTGAAACTCTTCTCAGAGTGAGCACAGACGTCAGGTTTTTCTCCAGTGTGGGTAGGCTGGTGGAGCTTCACACTGTATGAGTCACTGAACTCTTTCTCCCACTGGTCAAAGGAGTGGGTTCGCTGGTGGCTCTTCAATGAGCGTGAGTCCGCGAAACTTTTCTCACACTGGTCACAGGAGTAGGGTTTTTCTCCAGTGTGGGTTCGCTGGTGGCGCTTCAATGAACATGAGTCCGTGAAACTTTTCTCACACTGGTCACAGGAGTAGGGTTTTTCTCCAGTGTGGGTTCGCTGGTGGACCTTCAATGAGTCTGACCGGTTAAAGCTCTTCTCACACTGGTCACAGGTGAAAGGTTTTTCTCCAGTGTGGGTTCGCTTGTGAATCGTCAAATAGCTTGACTGGCTAAAGCTCATCTCACAGAGGTCACAGGAGTAGGGGTTTTCTCCAGTGTGGGTTCGCTGGTGGACCTTCAATGAGTCTGACCGGTTAAAGCTCTTCTCACACTGGTCACAGGTGAAAGGTTTTTCTCCAGTGTGGGTTCGCTTGTGAATCGTCAAATAGTCTGACCTGCTAAAGCTCTTCTCACACTGGTCACAGGTGAAAGGTTTTTCTCCAGTGTGGGTATGTTTGTGGCGCTTCAATTTCCTTGAACTCCAGAAACTCTTCTCACACTGGTCACAGGTGTATGGTTTTCCTATCGTGGCTGTAGACTGATGTTGATCCAGCTGTTCTCCGATGATACTCTTCTCCCCATCATCATAAAGTCTATCTGGGTCTTTGCAGGTCTCTTCCTATAAAACAAAACAATAAATCAACAGAGAAAGTGACACAAGTGTATTAGAGGACACATATGAATGTCTTGATGCAAGTTAAAAATGGACGTGACAGAAGTAAAGTAAGGTTTTTAATGAAACCCGAGAATGCATTCTGACTCGTCGTAGTCTAAAATACCGCTGAATAAAGGAAGAAGTATAAATACCTATTAACTTGATACAACAAAATAACAAAGATGCACTGATTGGTTGATTGATTCGGACTGATTTGTTTTTTAAATAAATACAAAGGGGTTGGCTCTCACAGACACTAAAAGGGTTGAAGCACACAAACTCGTTTCATTGTTTTATAAATTAGTTAAATTCAGAGGTAGGAAGTACATTTACTCAGGTACTGTACTTAAGTACAATTTTGAGGTAATTGTACTTTACTTGAGTATTTCCATTTTATGCTACTTTGTACTTCTACTCCACTACAGTTCAGAGGTAAATGGTGTACTTTTACTCCACTACATGTATTTAATACCTTTAGTTACTTCACAGATCTGGATGAATGATGTGAAATATAATCAAGTGTTAAATCAGACTTTAGTTCCACCTGGAGTAAATTCACAAGCTACCCTGCAGTATACAAAGTCATTCAAACTAGCTGCACCTTTACCAGCTTTGAGAACACTTTCATGATCAATCATTATAAAACATATCATATATATTATTCTGAAATGGACCAATCTGCACAATGACTACTTTTACTATATTTTGATGATAATACTTTTCTACTTTTACTTGAGGAACATTTTGAATGCAGGACTTTTACTGAAACAGAGTATTCCTACACTCTGGTACTTCTACTTTTACTCAAGAATAATACCTGAGTACTTCTGCTTTTACTCAAGTACAAGATCTGAGTACTTCTACTTTTACTCAAGTACAAGATCTGAGTACTTCTACTTTTACTCAAGTACAAGATCTGAGTACTTTTGCTTTTACTCAAGTACAAGATCTGAGTACTTTTACTTTTACTCAAGTACAAGACCTGAGTACTTTTGCTTTTACTCAAGTACAAGATCCGAGTACTTCTACTTTCACTCAAGTACAAGACCTGAGTACTTTTGCTTTTACTCAAGTACAAGACCTGAGTACTTTTGCTTTTACTCAAGTACAAGATCTGAGTACTTCTACTTTCACTCAAGTACAAGACCTGAGTACTTTTGCTTTTACTCAAGTACAAGATCTGAGTACTTCTCCTTTTACTCAAGTACAAGATCTGAGTACTTCTCCCACCTCAGAGTAAATGTGAATGATCAGATGTTACCATCTCCTTGTATATGCTACTGTAGCTTTAGCACTCACTATTTGCTATAGGTGACTTCCTGTTTACATCTTTGATTGATTTTTGCCAGATATTTCCTAGCAACCAATATGATTCACTCAGTATAACGAACGCTTTTTTAATTCTTCATTGTTTACTCAAATGCAACCATGTAAACAATTCTGAAAACTTAAATCAACAGGACTCTAGACTGATAAACTTTAAACAGAATTTCATTGTTTTAACTCAAATATGAATAATTATTTAACCAGGATTTTCACTTTTAAAAGTTAAAGTAACTTACCTCTGCTGATGAACTCTTTCTGCTGCTTGTGTTCTCGTCTACCTGAAGTTCAGTCATCTGCAATAACAGAGATTACCACATTACTTATTAGCAAACCACAGGAATTAAAATAAACATTTAGTGTTTTTCTAAATGTTAACCTTGAGACCATTAATTTGACAAAACAATCACTACCACAAAGCTCAACAAACAACAAATAGCGTGTGCGTTCCATTTTCACTCTCGTCCATCGAAAACATGTTTTAGAATATAAAAATACATGAATGATGAAATGAGCACATAAAGTGCAGACATACTATAAAATCACAGTTAATAGACCTGCATCTGATGATCGCAGTGTTCTGCCGGGTGTGTAGTTTATTGCGGAGCAAAGTAGTAATGTATGTAATGTAATAATGGCCACTTCTTGCTAAATTTACATTTCCATGTGATGCTTTTATCCGAGGTGACTCACAATAGGTAAATGAACAGCAGTAGACAGTATCTCATTTACTTAGACACTGTACTTAAGGACAATGTTGAGGTACTTGAGACTAATCCTGCAACTTTATACTGACAAATAAACTGATGAGATGAAAAACCGGACTTGACCAAACAAATCACGGAGCTCTCCCGCCGATATCAGAGATGTCCCTGCTATGTGTGGGAGGTAAGAGAGGACATTTAAGGGCTATGTTTGATGTCTTTAAGTATCACCTGCTGGGGTTTAGCTGCTGTCCTGTGCCTTCTTAAATCGTTTGTTTACGTCCCTCACTTCCGTTTCGCTTCTCATTTGCTAGCTGAACAGCTGATCAGAGTGGTTTCTTGGCCCGATAGCTTGTGTCCGACATGTTGAATCGGCCGTGTGTCGACCATGAAAGGCCAAATAAGGCGTGTCACGGCCGAGGGTTCGGGACACACCAAATTGACTTTGGGCGACAGGGCACGCTTCCTCGTCAGACAACCGAAGACGGCCGATATCGGCCTGGTGTGTCTGGGCCTTTAGCTCCGGAGTCTTGCTTCTAGACCGACCATTTTTTGGAGCTGGAAACGAACCGGATTCCGGAGCTAAGAGGCGGCGCCGCTGCGGTGTGAAGAGGAAAAACCGGTACTTTTCAGGCTCTAGCTCCGAGCCGGTGTTATGCCGTAGATTGAAGCTCTGTTCGCGGGGACACGCAAAGGTTACGTCATCGCCTGTATTGAGCGTTCGCCTAGTTTTCTAAGCGGAAAAACGAAAGATACTATTTACTTTCTCTCTTTTGAATGATATATTTCCCATCAGATTATACAGCAAATGGCTGAATAAATAATGTGCATACAATTGCGAGGAGGCTCGTTTTAAGGACACTTTTCAGATCTGTCACAATCTTCGTATTGGAACAAACTTCCGTTTTTGAGTCCACTCTGTTATGTTCCTCCTTCCTACAGAACAGACAATGACAGGATAATATGTCATTTGTCAGTATAGTCCTATTTCTTAAAACCTTCTCTGTTGTTTAAGTGTCTGATAACCACGAATAGTAAGCAATGATATAACAGTAATGATATAACATGTCAGACACTGTGTTATTTTCAATCAATCCTAAAAGATAATTTGTTCAAACTAGCTCCACTCGCTTTAATTGCTCCTTTGAATGTTCTTTATTTTAGACTGGGTTAATCCTGGTGTCAATAGGGAAGATCTGCACTGTTCTCTACATAACATGTTCAGCAGAGCAGGTATTTCTCCTGCCAGATTTGGAACCCCCCCCTATCATTTTGTCCAGGATGGTCATAGACTCACCAAAATCACACTGGTGTTGCCTGTTCCTCTCTAGTTTATGCTCACCAAAGCATTTTACTCTGGGCCCAGTAGGTGAAAAACTTAAGAGGGGCTTCCATATCCGGCAGGCCAGGTGTTGTAGCTGCCGGATTTGGAAGCCCCCCTATATCTTTGTCCAGGATAGTCACAACTTCACCAAAATCACACTGGTGTTTGCTGTTCTCCTCTAGTTTGTGCTCGTAAAAGCATTTTACTCTGGGCCCAGTAGGTGAAAAACTAAAGAGGGGCTTCCATATCCGGCAGACCAGGTGTTGTAGCTGCCGGATTTGGAAGCCCCCCTATATATTTGTCCAGGATAGTCATAGACTCACCAAAATCACACCGGTGTTTGCTGTCTCCCTCTACTTTGTGCTCACAAAAGCATGTTACTCTGGGCCCAGCAGGTGAAAAATTATAGGGGGGCTTCCATATCCGGCAGCCAGCCACAACACCTTCTCTGCTGGATATGGAAGCCCCTCTTTAGTTTTGTACCTGCTGGGCCCAGAGTAAAATGCTTTGGTGAGCATAAACTAGAGGGGAACAGGCAACACCAGTGTGATTTTGGTGAAATTGTGACTATCCTGGACAAAGATATAGGGGGGCTTCCAAATCCGGCAGCTCCAACACCTGGTCTGCCGGATAGGGAAGCCCCTCTTTCGTTTTTTACCTGCTGGGCCCAGAGTAATATGCTTTTGCGAGCACAAACTAGAGGGGAACAGGCAACACCAGTGTGATTTTGGTGAGTCTATGACCATCCTGGACAAAGATATAGGGGGGCTTCCAAATCCGGCAGCTACAACACCTTCTCTGCCGGATATGGAAGCCCCTCTTTAGTTTTTTACCTAATGGGCCCAGAGTAAAATGCTTTTGTGAGCACACACTAGAGGGGAACAGGCAACACCAGTGTGATTTTGGTGACGGTGTGACCTTCCTGGACAAAGTTGTAGGGGGGGTGCCATATCTGGCAGGAGAAATACCTGCTCTGCTGAACATGTTATGTAGAGAACAGTGCAGATCTTCCCTATTGACACCAGGATTAACCCAGTCTAAAATAAGGAACATTAATAGCGTGATATAGGCACAGATATAAGATCAATAATAAACTTTATTTTAGGGCACCTTTCAAAACATTCAATGTCACCTTAAAATAAAATAAAAAATAAAATATGAGTGGCATTACAATACAAACATGTGTTGAGTAGGAAACCACAGAGGACAATTACATTCAAAGGAGCAATTAAAGCGAGTGGAGCTAGTTTGAACAAATTATCTTTTAGGCTTGATTGAAAATAACACAGTGTCTTACATTATCATATATGTTATATCATTACTGTTATATCATTGCTTACTATTCGTGGTTATCAAGTATCAGACACTTAAACAACAGCGAAGGTTTTAAGAAATAGGACTATACTGACAAATGCCATCTTATCCTTTCATTGTCTTTCCTTAAAACGAGCAACCTTGCAATTGTATGCACATTATTTATTCAGCCGTTTGCTGTTTAATCTGATGTGAAATATATCATTCAAAAGAGAGAAAAAAGATTTGAAAACTAGGCGAAGCTCAATACAGGCGATGACGTCACCTGTGCGCGTCCCCGCGAACAGGGCTTCAATCTACGGCAAGGCTTCAACCTACGGCATAACACCTGCCCTGAAAACGCGTTGGTGTGAAAGGGGCATAAGCTCCGGAATCCGGTTCGTTTCAAGCACCAAAAAGTTGTCGGTCTAGAAAGCAAGCACCGCATACGTCACGCTTATGTCGGAGACGGGGGCAGGGGCAACAGTTTTTAATGTTATACCATAGTAATTAATGCTGCAAAGCTGGGTATTTTGAGCTTGGTGCATGCAGAGGCTAACAACAGCTAGCTCTAACGCCATCGAATAGGACGTATTTACCTTCTTTCTCCTACCGAATCGTCGTTGAAGTTGATGATTGTAAAGAAGTCTTGAATGTAGCATGTAACGACTGTAAAGTTGGTAGTAAAGTCGTCCCATTTGTTCCATTTAGTTTCGACAGAGCAAAACCAAAACGAGTAGCGCTTCAATACAATCGGCCATTGTTGTTGTTGTCGATGTGAGGGGGTTCCGCGCGGTTTGGCTCTATGAAGCAGGCACGCAAACGGTTACGTCATGACGCAAAGACGCAGCACCAGTCGGGCTCTGGGGCCTCATTTATAAAGGGATATACGCTCAAAAAATGGCGTACGCCAGTTTCTACGCAATGTTTGCGATTTATAAAATACTAACTTGACGGGAAAATGTGCAGTCCTCCCATGGATGTATAATAAGAAGGGTCCTCCACGCAAACTCTAACCCATGAGTGCGCACTAAGCACACAAACGGGAGAGACGAGAAACTGCGACACCGTTGGCAGAAGGAAGAATGGAGAGAAATATGTGGAAATAATACCATAAATAAAATGTTACCTCTCATTTATCAAATATGAAGAATTTATTTTCAAACATTGATTAAAGCCAATCTTAAAATGATTAAACAAACGCCTGTTTGAGACTCCTCAGTGCACACAAAAACATATAACTTGGAGAAATAAATAAATACGGATATGTTATTTAAAACCACCTCGAATATGTTGTGTTAATGTTATGAAATGTTTTCTCATAAATGATGCGGTAAGCAGGACAGAATAACGTCTAAACTGACGCCGTTTTGCATTTCTATAGGTTGTAGATACGAGCATGGTTTTATATACTATCACGTTTAATCGTGTTTTATGTCGTTTGGCAAGACTTGATAAGTCGCTCGTAAAACACAGGAGGTATGGAAACTAAGAACACCATATGTGGTAAATTGTACAGCTAATATAACACAATCCATTAGTTGTATTTCCTTTAACTAATGAATTATGGATATATAGTTGCTGATCGACAGCTGGAACACAAACAACCAAATACAACAAAATAATTCAGATCCAGTCGTCATGACTCCACTCCGGAGGGATTCCCCGATCATTTCTTACAGTTTCTCATCAAGGGGGTGTCTCCTGTCCCCGGGACAAACACACTGCCTGAGGAAGGTTATGTGTATTTTTTTTGTCATTAACTTTTTTCGGACCACTTATTTATTTATTTTGGTGACGATCCGACCTCCATGCTGCTACTCTGATTCAAACTGCATCCACCAAACAATATGATTTATCTCGACCTCCCCAAAATAACCAAAATCTGACACGGTGTGTGTGAGATGTCTTTTTTAGCTGTTCGGTCGTAATTTCCTGCGATCTTCTTCATGCAGTCAGTCAAAATGAATGAATGAATGGGCGTTTATTTCTGGCATAGAATGCCATGGTTCACAGTATCAAATGCCTTGGATAAGTCTATAAAAAGGGCAGCACAGTAGCTCTTTGCGTCCAAGCCTTCAACAATGTCATTCACTACTTTCAAAGCAGCTGTTACTGTACTGTGCTGCTTCCTAAAGCCTGACTGGTGAGGAGATAGAATGTTGTTCAAGCTTAAATATTCTTTGATTTGATCATTCACCAGCCTTTCAAGTACTTTAGCTAAAATAGTGAGCTTGGAAATTGGTCTGTAATTATTCATCACCATGGGATCACCACCTTTCAATAAGGGGAGAACATTTGCAGTTTTCCAAACATCTGGAATGACATTGTTTGTTATAGAAAGATTAAAAACATGACACACTGGTTGGGCTATAATATCTGCAGCTAGACGTAAGAAACAAGGGGGGAGATCGTCTGGGCCTGCTGATTTATTGGGGTCTAGGCCCTTTAGAGCCTTACAAACATCCCCAACAGAGAAAAGGTCGAAGGAGAAAGTGTGGCTACTGGAAAAAGTGATGTAACATCTAATGTAAACATGAATGGACCAAGGATAGACCCCTGTGGAACCTCTTTCTGAGGGTAAAATGGCCTGAATGAGTATAGTCAGCATTTGGTAATAGTTTATGGTTCAAAGCGACGCTCTATCTAGCTTATATGAGACTAAAGGCTCTATACACACACTTTTAGAAATCAGTAGGCTTTAGCTTGTTGTTCAATTACCACATATTTATAACATTATTACATTTAAGTGACTGTGGTGCCTTGTTCTTTAGGGAGCTTTGTGTGTGTTTTTGCTGTGGAAAAGAATACAAGTTGACAACTTAAGTGCATGCATTTGAATATTATTGAGAACATTTGAACAACTTTTAAAATCCACACAACATCTTTTAACAGTGAGTTGTGTCAAACAGTCCACCTCACTCTTTCTGAACAGTCTCAGTGCACTAGTGAAGGTTTTCTCCCATGTGGTCTGGTTCTCTGAAACTCTTCTCAGAGTGAGCACAGACGTCAGGTTTTTCTCCAGTGTGGGTAGGCTGGTGGAGCTTCACACTGTATGAGTCACTGAACTCTTTCTCCCACTGGTCAAAGGAGTGGGTTCGCTGGTGGCGCTTCAATGAGCGTGACTCCGTGAAACTTTTCTCACACTGGTCACAGGAGTAGGGTTTTTCTCCAGTGTGGGTTCGCTGGTGGCGCTTCAATGCGTCTGACCGGATAAAGCTCTTCTCACACTGGTCACAGGAGTAGGGTTTTTCTCCAGTGTGGGTTCGCTTGTGAATCATCAAATCGCCTGACTGGCTAAAGCTCTTCTCACACTGGTCACAGGAGTAGGGTTTTTCTCCAGTGTGGGTTCGCTTGTGAATCGTCAAATCGCCTGACTGGCTAAAGCTCTTCTCACACTGGTCACAGGAGTAGGGTTTTTCTCCAGTGTGGGTTCGCAGGTGAATCTTCAAATCGCCTGACTGGCTAAAGCTCTTCTCACACTGGTCACAGGAGTAGGGTTTTTCTCCAGTGTGGGTTCGCTTGTGAATCGTCAAATAGCTTGATTGGTTAAAGCTCTTCTCACACCGGTCACAGGAGTAGGGTTTTTCTCCAGTGTGGGTTCGCAGGTGAATCTTCAAATCGCCTGACTGGCTAAAGCTCTTCTCACACTGGTCACAGGAGTAGGGTTTTTCTCCAGTGTGGGTTCGCTTGTGAATCGTCAAATGGCTTGACTGGCTAAAGCTCTTCTCACACTGGTCACAGGAGTAGGGGTTTTCTCCAGTGTGGATTCTCTGGTGGATCTTGAAATAGCTTGACCTGGCATAACTCTTCTCACAGAGGTCACAGGAGTAGGGTTTTTCTCCAGTGTGGGTTCGCAGGTGAATCTTCAAATAGCCTGACTGGCTAAAGCTCTTCTCACACTGGTCACAGGTGAAAGGTTTTTCTCTAGTGTGGGTACGTTTGTGGCGCTTCAATATCCCTGAACTCCTGAAACTCTTCTCACACTGGTCACAGGTGTGTGGTTTTCCTATCGTGGCTGTAGACTGATGTTGATCCAGCTGTTCTCCGATGATACTCTTCTCCCCATCATCATAAAGTCTATCTGGGTCTTTGCAGGTCTCTTCCTATAAAACAAAACAATAAATCAACAGAGAAAGTGACACAAGTGTATTAGAGGACACATATGAATGTCTTGATGCAAGTTAAAAATGGACGTGACAGAAGTAAAGTAAGGTTTTTAATTAAACCCGAGAATGCATTCTGACTCGTCGTTAGGGATGCCAGCGATTATTCGATTTTTCGAATATTCGTTACAGTCTCCATAACATAGACTGTATATATAAATGGACGTAGGGTCCGTGACGTCACCCATAGGATTCTGCAGAGTTGCCGAGAAGCCCTTAGTAGGCGGAGTCGGCCACTAACGGCTCGACAGTGTTCCACTCCCGCCTGCTCCAAATAAGGGCAGAGGCGGAGGCGGGACCTGCTGCCACCGGGCTGGAAGTTCCAGAGCTAGCTGAAGCTACCAAGCTAAGCTAACATGCTCCCCATCTGCACACTGCCGTCGCATTTTACGTTTCTAAGGTAAGCGGACATGAGACTATTCAGCAAAACTATAAATAATAATCTAAGTTAAGTTTTTAGCATAATACTTCAGAATCTTAAAATCCCTTTACGTTTGTATGCAATGTGCTAAATTAAACACTGGAATCAAGCAAATATTAATATGTTTGCATGACATTAGTTATTTATATTTTTCCATCACTTAATTATACGTTTAATACATTTAAGTTAAGCTAAGGTACATGTGATGATAGCTAGTTAGTGCTCTTACCTGTGAGGCCTCCTCCAAACAGCATTATAACCAGACTGTATCATTAAATCCCAGAGCAAAAGGGTTCAAAGCCCCCCATGGTTCTAGGAATTGGACAAGCACCAGGGAGTTCTTGTCAAGAGCCAGGGGGTACTTGCTCACTTTTAAGATGGAAGATGGCACACCCCTTTACCGAACAAAGAGGTCTTTTAAAATAGTGAATGTTCTGTTGGTGATGCACTGATACCATTTTCGCCCCACACAAGTATAAGTACAACTACTCAACTTTTTAGTAGTCGCCAATACCCAATACAAATGTATTATTATTATTTATTTATTCTTCGTTAGATGTATACAAGTAGTCAATTTACCAATCATTAAATTATCTAAGGTAAAACTAAGTAGTACTGCTTTGGTGCTCTGACTGAGTATCTAAGATTTGTAACGGTTACCAATAACTCAACTCTACCGGTTTCAGTGCATCCCTAAAGTCTATGAGATGCTCTGTTCTCTTGTTTATCATCAAGTTTATGTGATTCTCTACTATCTTCTGCATCGAGTTGAGATGCTCTGTTTTCCTGTCTGCATCGAGTTCATAAGATGCTCTGTCCTGTCTGCATCGAGTTCATAAGATGCTCTGTCCTGTCTGCATCGAGTTCATGAGATGCCCTACTCTTCTGCATTGAGTTCATAAAGTGGTACGTATTATACACTATTTTGCTCCAATGCGTTTGCTGTCAGCGAATTTGTCTCTGTTCCTCTGTTGTGTTCAGTTTTTGTTCCCCCAGATGCAGGTGTCAAAATGGTCTGTATTGCATGGTCTGCATGTTCGGTGGTGAATTAATTCAAGCAGGTTTAGTGTCCTAAAAGTAATTTTAAGGATCCTAAACCTCACACTGATTATACTTTTAAGATCAGGGATGCAAACTAGTCAGCTTTAGGGTACGGTCCCCTTTTCCCCCCAAAATGTGGCAATGAAGTGAATTGTGTGAAATGTGGATTTGTATCTGCCCTGGCAGCTCCCTGAGAAGTGCTGCTCTGGGAGCATTAACTATTTTCACCCTATACCGTATGTGTTTGCATCCCTGCTTTCTTGTCTCCTGTTTTGGTGGGATCATCATAGTAATACAATATTTGCTTTTGAAGGTTCCTCTCTATCCTGGGCTTCTTCATCAATATCGACACGTTGATGTTGATGGTTCCTGTGCTGCTTGAAGGACAGCGATATGTCCTGACCTACAGGTTCAGCCAGGACCACTTGGAGCTTCTCTTTAACTCCATCAGAGCATCCGGTAGGGTTCATATTTACCAGACGCAACACTAAGTGACAGCAAATGCTTGTATTCTTTTCAGTTTGTCTGTCCATATGTTTGTTTGTTTTTTTGGAAAAATGCGGTTCTGAAGACATATACAGTATCTGGAAGTGTCACAGAAACCATTTTGAGTATTAAGAAAAATGTCTGTGTGTTTGTCTATCCGTTTGCAGAATTTGTCACCACTGTGATACAGTCTGAACTGTATGATAATGTCATTCAACTTAATTTATGTGGAAAAAGATCATTCAGGCGTGGCTGGTTCTAATTTGTCATTTTTTTTTTAAAAGCATAAAGATGTATTGAATATCTGTGTAATATACTTGCATATCTTGTGTTTTTTTAAGGTGGCTGGAATAACAACCCTAATGCCAGCCAGTTCAAGTACATCTTCCGGAAGCTGATGGCCCGGTGTGGGGTTGTTAAACCAAGCAGCAAAGGTCATGTGACGGCACAGGATGACACAGAGTCCCTACCAGCTGTAGCAATGTCCTCTGCTGCCCAGTCCTACCACATCGACACATCTACAAACCTGTCAGCTGTAGATATGTCCTCTGCAGAAGAAGGAGAAGATCTTCCATCCCCGTTTGCTGACATTCCTGCCCTTGTACATGACCACAGCTACCTTCCCACCCGCTTCGATGGTCTTGTGAACAACGACCGATAGTGTATTTAGCTTATAACCGATTGTGCCAATAGTCACAATCTGCGGTGAAAACGATGGGCGATTAATCGGACGATAGTCCAAAAAAAGAAATATTCACAGTCCGTGGAAAATTCTAATTTCCCCATGCTTATTAATTATTATTAATCGGTCCACCTCTAATTTCAGGATTTGTTGTGCGACGGACTTTCAAGAAGCTGTCCTGTGATGTCTGCCGTGCCAGCCTGGTGACGGACGCTGCATCTGCCAGTAAGGACAAGAGCTACCACCTGCTGACTTTAAGAAACAATGGAGGCCTGGTGATTCCGTCTGAAGGCACAGTGAGTGTTGTCAGGGCAGCAGAGTGGGTAATTCGCCAGGCATCAGCAGATTCCAGATGATCACAGCCCATCAAACTGCTAGAGGTCCTCTACATTGTGCGGAAGAGGATTGGTCCAGAGGATGTGTTTTTGCTTGGGGAGCACATTGCCGACACACAGTATGGCATTGACAGTCACCACCATACGCTGTTGACATTAGTTGTGTCCCTGTTTTTTAAGCTAAGGCTGCATCACATTGCAAAAACAACTACTCTGAGCTTACAGAGTGGCAGCATGAGACAGAAGGTCACAAAAACAGTCCTTTTCAAAGGGCATTAGCTCCAACATGTGCACATGTGTTACGTGCCGTAGTGGGTGCTTGTGTGTCTCCTTCTCTTTCCCCCTGATGTTTCTTCTTCTTCTTTGTTTAATGGCGAATCGCTACCACTAGGAGCATATATCGCCACCTACTATGTATTTATTAAATCTTCATGTTCCATGATGGGCCTCACCACCTTCAGTCACAGGTACTGGCTCCTCGATTGTCCTTACACTCTCTGTCTCTCACCCTAAAACCAGACCCTTTCTTTTTAGACTAAAATGTCGGGTATCTCTAGGGTCCGTTTGGTGTTTTTTCTTTTCTGTTGCTTCAGCATATGAAACTTTGTATCTCTCTACCTCCTTTGCCTTTTTCTGCACTTCGCAGCCCTGATACGCAGCACTATGTTCCCCATATATGTTTATGTTTGCTCAGTCTGTCTAATAAACCCATAAAATGGTTGTGAAAGAATACCAAAGCTGAGGCTGAACGATGATTGATTGTTGGTGTGCCATGTGTCACAGTGTGTCTTATTGGTTTTGTGTTATACTGTATTTTATTGTGTGCAGCTGGTCCTTATCTCCAAGACACATTTAAAACAAAATAACCTTGAACCTTGAAGCCCCATCTCTCCCCACCTGCCCCTGCTTCCTACATCCCCTCCACACCAGACCAAGTTGTTCTTCTTAATAATACATTTATTTTGGGGGGCCGCCTTTCATAACACCCAAGGACACCTTACAGGGCATAGGGGCAATATAGGGAACAATTAAAACAGTGGATTTAGTGAGATATCAGCCGGGGTAAGACAAGACAAACGACAGTAAATGGACTACAGAACGACACAGGGTACAGTTTATATTATTCTTGGGCTTTTTTCGACTACAAGAACTCAGCGCACCGTGCTGTGAAGTGGTAACGTATTTCAAAGGTTCTGGATTTGTTTACAAATCTAGAAACTAAATACAAAACTAGGACGATATGAAGATCTGATGTCAAAAATAATTGTGATAAATGAGACAGAACTGGCCTGTCTGTGAGCTCATTTTATGTTGGTTTGGTTCTTCTGATAAAGGTGTGAATATCTAAATAATATACCACCATGCTATTGTCATTAGTTGTGTCCCTGTTCTTTAAGCTAAGGCATTGCTAAATTAACAACTCTTGGCTTACAGAGTGGTGACATGAGACCGATTTTTATATATAAAATATAAATATATTTTAATTTTATAATTTATTTTAAATATTAACAATATAATAAAATAAATGGAAATATATACACCGGCAAATATTTAATATAAATACCTTGTGTGGGTGTGTATAGCTATTGCTTTATCTGCTTAATGTTATTTTCATATGAAAGTCCATGATTATATACACATATATATATACATATGTATGTATACATATATACATATATACATATGTATGTGTATATATACATATGTATGTGTATATATATATATATATATATATATATATATACATATGTACATATGTATATATATATATATACATACATATGTATACAGTTCAATAAGCTTCTTAGTGCAATAAGAAGCTACAGGGACGTTAATCTACATCGGTAATATTAACTTTATTTAATACAACATTTACGGTACAAGATTTAATCATACAGCCCATGTCGTATAATATTTTACAAATGATGAATTACAGCAAACATGTGCAATATATCCATTATTACAGCTCCGTGGG